TCAGAATTCCTTGGGGACTTTGTTACTTTGTTCCCCTTGCTGCTCTGTTGTGCTCCCTTCCTGTTATGCGCTGGGGTGGAGTGGGGAAGGGGTAGGGGAGGGGGGCAGGCAGCAGACTGGCTCAATTCCCTCAAGTGTCTCAGGTGCTTCCCCCTGTAGCACTGTGCATCAGTAAGGGGACATCTGTCTTGTGGTGGGGTGTGTGGGGGGTGTGTGGCAACCCTAAGGTCCTCTCTGTGCATTGGCTGCTCTGAGCAGGAATGTTGTACTCAAAGCTTGGTGGAAAAGATATTTAGCAATGACACAACAGACAAAGGACTAATTACTAAGATCTACAATACTTTACAAGTCTACAAGAAAAAACCAAACAACTAATAATCCCCCATGATCGTGGGCAAAGGGCCTGAATAGATTATCGACAAAGGATGATTTTCAAGTGACTTTTAAACACTGGGTAATATGATTTAAAATGAGACATGAGTAATTTTTTCTCCATAACCCATATTTCTGGCTGTATTTCTTGATATATAATTACTCTTTATCAAGCATTTAGCAAATGTCCAGCAAATTATTTTTCCTGTCTAAAGCTATGAAACAGGTAATGCTAACCAGGAGGAAATGTTCCTGCTCACTAGTTATCCGGGAAATGCAAGTCAAAACAACCATGAGATACATCACAACAAATCATAAAGAGTGTGTGGTAAGATTGTAACCCTTATCCACTGCTAGTGGTCTTATAGATACATAAAACCCCTGTGGGAGGCAATATGATGATATCTAAATCAGATGACAATTGAAACAACATATAATGATAGAGATATAGGTTTATGTACATATATTTATTTATAGGTTAAGTATTAAGGTAGCAAATGGACATTGTGCCTCTACCCAAGTACTCCCTCAATGCAAAAATAACCTGTCATTCTATGATGCTCACATTCCTGACACTATTGCTGAAGATAAAATTGGTACACAAGCAAATATGGTGAAAAAACTGATGGTGCCAGCTATTAAAAGATATAGCATCTGGGGTCTTAAAGCCTTGAAGATAAATAAGCAGCCATGTAGCTGGCCATCTAGCAACAAAGCCCACATGGAAGAATCAGACCAGTCCGTATGATCACGAGGTGTCAACAGGATCAGGTACAAGGCATTAGAAAGCCCAAACAAACAATCATATCAATGCAAACAGGTGGGGTGGGGTGGAGACCCAAAGCCCATCTGTAAACCCTTCATAGAGGGGTCACAGGGAAGGACTGAGCCAGCCAGGGTGCAATATAGCACTAACGAAACATACAGCAATCCTCTAGTTCTTTAATGATTCCTCCTGCCCACTATCATGACCCCAGTTCTGCTTTACAAATCTGGCTAGGCTAGAGCATGTACACTGGTACAGATAAGAGCTCTTGACACATGGAATCCAGGACAGATAAACCCCTCAGGATCAATAATGGGAGTAGTGATACCATGAGGGTTGGGGGAAACTAGGGGGAGAAAGGGAGAACTGATTGCAATGATTGATCTATAACTCCACCCCCACCCCCAATCCCAGGGTGACGAACAAAAGAAACATGGGTGAAGGAGACAGAAGATGGTGTAAGATATGAAAATAATAATTTATAATTTATCAAGTTTTTATGAGTTCAGGAAGGAGGAAAGGGAGGAAAATAATTAGGAGCAGATACCAAGGGCTCAAGTAGAAAGAAAATGTTTTGAAAAGGATGATGGCAACATATGTACAAATGTGCTTGACACACTGTATATATGGATTTTTATAAGAGCTCTAAGAGACGCCAATAAAATTATTATTAAAATGAAGAAAAAGAAAAAAATACCATATAAGCCAGCAATACCGTTACTGGGCATATATCTAAAGGAAATAAAACCTGGCAACAGACATTTGCACCCCATGTTCATTGCAGCACTGTTCACAATACCAAGAAGCATGAAACAACTTAAATTTCCATCAGTAGATGGTTGGCTAAAGAAACGCTGGTTTACATACACAATGGAATATTACACATCCTTAAAAAATTACAATGAATTTAAGAAACACTTCTAGACGTGGAGGGAGCTGGAAGTAATTATGCCCGATGAAATTTGTCAAGCACAAGAGGGTAAATTCTGTATGAGTCCACTGCTGTAGAATTAAGCAGCAAAATGGGCAAAATCCCAGGCTTGTAGGGTATCCAGGCTTTTGCCTTGGGGCCAGACAGCCTGGCACAGAGCTTGACCAGTGTCAAGGAACCATACAATATCCACTTGTGGTAGTTACATAATTTGGTGTCAATTTGAGAGTATTAAGAGTGAAGGGGTGGAGTTTAGCCTGTCAATCAGGTCACATCTTGAAGACCTCATTTGGAGTTGCTATGGAGATAAATAGCTCAATGGTCACCAGACCCAGACTCTGCTTCATCTTCTTGCTGACAAGACACATGGAGCTAGGCTGATGGAACCAGAGCCCTGTAGCTGGAGAAGCCACTGAGACCCACGCCAACACTGAGATGCTTCCACTGGCACTTCATTCACAAGACTTTCCATCCCCTGGCCTGTGATCTTTCTGCATTGGTGTCATTGCATGTGTTGTGTGAGTCTGAAGAGGAAATTATAGACTGGCATCAGACATATGGACTTGATCTGGACTGGGCTGGGCTGTTTTCTTGATATATAATTACTCTTTATCTAAAGTTTTTTCTTATATACATGAGCATCTATGAATTTGTTTGACTGACACACCATTCCAGGTAAGCATTTTGAGTAGGTATTTAGAAACACACTAGGCTGGAGGGCGCCTCACGTCAGCAGGGAGCAAATGGTCAAGGGGTATGGAGGGGTGTATCTTGAAGTTGACATGTACATCTGTGGTGAGGTACTCTCGGACAAGTAGACAGCCCTACTGGAGGGAGGAAGGATAGGATGGGGAGAACCATGAAGGACGTCGGAGCAAACATGTTGGGGGAACACAATGACGTATCTGTTGGTTGGAAAAGAGGGGGGACTGACTTCCAGGTCTAGGGAAGAATGACTGAAATGCTTTTGGGAACACTAGGAGGGGTGTGCCTTCAGGGATGTACACTGGATGGACCACATTGATCTGGTCTTCTTATTGCAACCTGAGGACCCTGGCCAGGTGTTACGTTACTTTGGGACACTGAATCCTGGATCTTCAAGGCACACAGCATGCTCCAGAGGCTGCATCAATGAGGACCCACCTGGGAATTCCATTGGGTGAAAGGGACGCCACCTTACACACACCTAGAACGTGAGCACATAGGTGGAAAACACGAGGTGTCTGGGGAAGCAGAAGGCAGCAGGACCAATTTTGGAGGGTTGTTGATAGGCAGAGACAGATAAGGTCTTGCAACACCAAGGCCCTCTATGTTATAGTATTCTGGTAAACCTGTGAAGATCTTTCTGATGTGATTGATTTATATTTGTGCATATCACGGTAGACGTCAGAGGCCCTATGAAGTGGGGGATTACCTTCTTGAAGCTGTGAAATAAGTTTTTCTGCTTCTTGGTAAATAAACGCAGGATTGATGAATTTATAGGGATAGCAAGTAGAATGAGGGTGTCAGGAAGGGGCTGCTGAGGGTGGTGGTGATAAAAGGGAGATGATGCTAAGGTACCCAAGAAGAAATAGGATGTTTGGGAACTGATTATGGAAGCAATGGTATAATTCTCTTGACTAAGATTGAACGATGCAATGACATAACATTTGGTTTAATTCCCAAATAAGAATAAATTGGAAGGCAAAAACTAATGAATTAACTAACTTACTTAGATTCAGGAATGGTTTTTCAGCTCACATGAAATCCCAGCTCCAATTTAAGAGCAATTAGTTCTTACATCACGGCCCTGCTCGATACAAGCCCTCAGGAAGGGAACACAGAGGAGATGGTCCGACAGCAAAATATGTTGAAGAAATTAAATGGTTCCCCGGCCATCAGATAAAACAGTGTCTGGGGTCTTAAAGGATCTTCTCTGACTAAGCAGCCATCTAAGTGAACTGGCAACTGGTCCACATGGTAGAAGCACACCGTCATCAGCCACCGATGGATTATAAAACATAATGCGAAGTTGAAGGGAGGGATTAGCATCCGAGCCTAAAGTCTGATGATCTGGTTTGCAGAAGGCTTTGGATGACAGTGGGAGCCCAAGATCCATTTCTGGAACTTACAGTAGGTTAACCTCCAGTGAACTCCCTCTATCCACGATTGAGGAACAGGAGGAAAGAGATCACTAAACGGAGTGCACTGGTGGATGGAGCATAGAAGGTCAAAGGCAGAAGCCTGACTTGACAGTTACAACATGTCAGCAGATTCCCCCTAGGACGCATGCCGGAACTGATCTGGCAAATCTTGTGTACTTGGGGGTTGTATTGTTTTGTTTGATTTTTGATTACACATATTAGGAGGTATCTCAGAAGTGTAATGTCATTGGGGTCACGTTCTTTAAGTGGTAGTAATTGATTTTTCATTTTTTGGTGTATGAAAACTAGGATTGATAAATCTATAGAGCCAACAGGTGGAATAAGAGTTTAGGGGGGAGGGTGACACAGAGGGGGTAGCAGGGTGAAGGGGTGATGATGTCAAGGGGTCCACATAGAAAAAGAATGCTTGTAAACTGATTGTGGTTGCAAATTTACAATTGTGCTGGACGTGATTGAACTATGGAATTATTTAATATATGTATTAATCCCAATTAATACATATATAGGACATATGTGTATTAGATTCTAAGGACACGTATGTATTTTGAAAGATAAAGAAAAAATGACTGATTGTAGTAATATGACGCAATAGGTATTACTTTAAAATAAATTTCAAGATTATAAAATTTATACATGCAGTGTAGCAGAAACAATTAAAATATCTGATATATTAATAGTAAAAATAAAATTACTACATGATTCAGGGAAAAAAAGATAAAAAAGGATTCATTAGATTATGTCCACAAATCATTTAACCTTACATTAAAAAGGGAACATTATAGACATCTTTGGGGAATTAAACTTGCTTTATTTTGCTAGGCAAATGCCATTTTCAATGTCTGATTAAATATTAATTTGCTAACTACATTGTTTCTTTTCTTACACAGAAGAGTGAACATTCACTGTAAATGACAGTTTCATCAAAGGCTATTCACAAACCTACATTTTGAAAAAAAAAAGTGCATTTCTAGGACATTTTATATACAATTCAAATGAAAAACACAAGGCACCAACTTTCTAGCTACCTAAAATGAAACACCAACTTTCAGTACACTTAGTGATATTTTCCAAGGTTTTTTGTTTTGTTTTACATTTGGCAGTTACATTCAAGAAGGATATCTGTATTTTAAAGGAAAAGTAATAAAAGTATATACAATTCAATGATGTTCAAAATAGAAGGTATTAAATAGCACAAATAATATTACAAAATGGAACAATGTTATCAGTTTAGGTTGACATGAAGCAGGGAGTTGAGCCTGTGCTCCGAATCTAAAACAATTGTACTTTCAACTTTGTACACGGAATAGACTAATTACAACACAGAGGATGGTCTCCACTTACAGTGACACACAGTTCTCTTAGTACATGTAGGGATGAAAATAAATAGAACACTACAAAAACATGCTTCCTTTAATAACATCTTTAAACAGGTTAACCATTAGAATAACAGCCGTTTTCCAGACTACTTTCGGACCATAGATACTTGAAACAATTGCCTTTTTAAAAACCAAAAAAGGGAGAAGTTGTTTGCTGTGATATATGTCACCTATTTACCATTTTTTCTTGACTTTTAGCCCCACTGAGACTTTCACTTACTGTTTCACAATTTACCACCATTTTAGCAATAAATCATATTCTTGGATTGTGGCCAATGATCATATCTTTCTGATATTGATTTTAGTCATTAAAGCCAGTACTTAGAAGGCAGTATATCTACTTTTATTGTCTTCTTCATGGATTGTTTGCTACACATAAAACCTTTGTAATCAATTGATTAGGTATAATGTGCAACTTCTATTTTCACCTTGGAATAAGAAAATGTCTTTAAAAGGAAACCTGATGAAAAAGCAAGAGTTACATTCTTAAGAGAAACATAAGAATATGATCAAGATAATTTTTTCATATTTCTTCTATCTAATTTTTATGGGAGATAAAAAAATTTAGCATTAAATTATTGTAATAAAAGTCTCCAAACATAACTAGAAGCTAATTGACCTTATTAATCACGAAACTTCCCTCAATTGTAGTTATTTACTACTGAACTTAGTACAAGATCAATCTTTAAAACCAATGTTAATTTTGTTCATATATGATATTTCATTTTTATTTCTTTAGATAAGGTGCAACTTTCTGCTACACACAAAAATAATAATTTAAAAAATGGAAGTATTGACTTAAAAGTCAGTATATCTAATGTTCGTTTTAAAAAGGAGTTCATTAAAATTGAAAGCTTAGCCCCACATTTGCTGTAAATTCCTTTTAGTAAATTTGCATTTACTTTCTTTATTAGGATGAGTGGGTGATAATTTTTCTCTTTAAATAGGAATTTGACATTTATTTCTTCTTATATTGTTTAACTTGATACACTGAATTATTTTTAAAAAGATATAAAAATGGTAATTAATTAAATGGTATAAATTTATATTCTCTGGGTCTCGAATAACTGAAATAACTTCCAAAAACAGAAAGTGCTTTTGTCTGGAAGACAGTAGCATTAGTACATAAATGTCAATGGTTCATTCACATGAATCCCAACAAAATTTTATGTTGTAGGTTTTGCATTTTATCTTTTTGAAACAAACGTACAAAGGTTGATGACAGTTATCACCAACTGACAATTTTTACAGTCCTATAATCACCAATAAATATTTCACTGGAAGCATATAAAATCATTGCCTTCTCTTTCTGAATCGCTTGTGTTTTCTATACAACGTTGAGATGCCCACTTCCCTTCAGATGTCTATTCTAAAGCTCTCAGCAGCGGCCCTGTCAAATGCATTTATATGACGTTTACTATGTGAAAGTTGCAAAGTTGGCATTTGTTTCCTGCGTAAAATCTTGACAAGCAGAGCAGGTCACAGGGTTATATCCCTCATTCAATTGAGGGATGTAATGATTCTAGTTTTCTAGCCACCATTAAAAAAAAAAGGCAAAATAAAGTCATAAATAAAATCCAGATTAAGTTAAATATTTATATGCACCATGAGGACCATGACATGTCTAGTGCTAGTCATTATCATACAAGAAAATGCATGCTCATTGCAGTTCATGTAAATTCACCGTAGGTGTGAGTAACCTGTTTCTCGGAAATTTGTAAGGGTAAATCAAAAAACTCTTTGCTCAGTATTTGTTCCTTGGTGACAAACCATTTTTTACAGGAAACACAAGCCCCATACCAGAAAATTTATGACTCTGGCAACTGATTCCTCCTATTTCGGCTTTTCCGACTATTTATAAGAGCCTTTAACTTGCCGTAGTCTCCTCTCATCTTCTGGGGCTCTTCACCCAGCTGATGCTGCTGCCGCGTATCTTTGCAGTACTGGTTAATCATCTGCATTTCTGAGTGGCTGAAGGCCCCCATGATGTCCTTTGGATGGAAAGGCAGGGCCCTCACAGAGCTCGCCCAGGTCCAGGGAGACCATTTGTCTGTCGCAACAGCCACCATTTCTGAATCTAAAACTTTGAAGTTGATCTTGGCTATGGTCTGCTTGAAACCGTTTTCTGTCGCGATGCAGTGATACAGTCCCTGGTCAGAGTCCTGGATGGATCGGATCAGGAGTCCTTGGGATGTGGCTATGATTCGGTCATTCAGCTTGACCTAGGAGACAGAGTTCAGATTTCTGAAAATGCCAATCGATGACTTTTACCAGGATCAACACAGACAGAGCATTGTGAACTTTCACAAATCTGGCAAAGGCAATGAGGGCTAATTAGCTTTCCTCTCAGTAGAAAGATTATTTAATCAGTCCCATTGCCTTCTGCATGTAGGAGATCTTGTGCCAGGATAATGAATCTATTAAAGAGAGTACAAAGGTGCCAGCCAGGCAAAAATAGCTTAAAGGGCATTCCCTTTGATAGAAGTAGTTTAACTATCCACACTGGGACAAGAACAACGTTTTGATTAATTTTAAAATCTGAATGCTATCCAATATATGTAAATGAATTCACTCATGATTTAAAATGTCTGTTTTATCTTAGAGTTCTTATATTTTATGTTAGCAACAATTCTCATTTATTTGCTAAAATCAGGAGCTATAATTATAGGTTCCATATAATAATCAAAGTATGCATGTTCTAAATAAAACATTATACAAACATAGGAGATACTATATACACCATCACAGATCTTTTCCAATCATGCTACACTAATGAATAAAAATCATCCGGAAGGTGAATGTCTTGTAAGATATACTTCTGAGTGGGTTTGCTTTCTAATCCGGGCAATAAAAACCTATGGTTAGCATTACCTGTTTCATAGCTTTAGACAGGAAAAATAATTTGCTGGACATTTGCTAAATGCTTGAAATCCATATCCTCAGGGGATTTTCCACAGTGTTGACCACACACAGATAAAAAGCTAATTGATAAGAAGTGTCTGAGAATGTATCCTCTGAGATGCTCTTTCACAGAGGTAAGAAGAAATTTTATGAAAATAAAAATAAAGTCCAAACTGTTTTTTTAATGATGTTGTTTACAGATACATTTTTCCCTTCTAATGACCGCTAAATAAAAATTAACTGTTATACAAAAAAAGGAGAGAGGACAAAGGGTAGTTCATTTCCACAGATTCTAAAGCATTATTGCCATTTAGCTCAATAATTCACTTCTGTATGATAATCATCATCAAACATTTTAGGTCACAACCCAGAAATCCTGCAACTCTAGTATAATTATAATATATACCTATTCCAAAAACTTTTTAACTAATTAAAAACATTTTAAAGGCTTTTTTGATAGCAAATTTTGTGGCAAATACACACACAGCTCAGCACCAAATTCACTGTTATCGAGTCCTTTCTGACTCGGGTCAGCTCTACTTAGGAGCTTGCTCCTCCCAGTGCGTTGCCGTCTGAGGGCCCATGTTGGCACTGCAGCAGACAGGAGTCTGCTGTTAGTCGTAAGGTGTTGCCATTAGGCTGTGGAAGCAGACTGCCGGGGCCTGTTCCTTAGTTCGGAAGCTCAGGTGAACGCTGCCCACCGTGGGAGTCCTGCTGATATCTGAAAGACTGGTGGCAACGGGCCAGCATCCGAGCAACAGATACACCACCGTTTTAGGACCAGGGCTGTGTTTTGTTTTGTTTTGGAGTAGAGGAACTGAGATCCATTTTGTTTATCTTTCCTCTCTATCAGCGGTTCTCAACCTGTGCGTCAGGACCCCTTTGGGGGTCAAACGACCCTTTCACAGGGGTCGCCCGATTCATAACTAGCAAAATTACAGTGATGAAGTAGCAACGAAAATAATTTTATGGTTGGGGGGTCTCCACCATATGAGGGACTGTTTTAAAGCGTTGGGAAGGTTGAGAACCACTGCTCTAGATAACTAAATATATTCTTATGCCAGAAGTCATAGCCTTTGGTTAAAGTGTCCAGTGACTGAGGACACCTGAGTGCTACATCGCGTCTTCGGAGAAGAAGACTTAAGCGTTGAAAAATAAGTCCTCATACAGAGCTAACATTATTTCAGCAATTTTGATGCAGTATTTGTGTTCTATAGTTTGGGATCATATTCATTCTATATAGGCTTAATAAGCTTACTATATAGCAACAAACTTGGCCACACATGTGGAATATTTTATAAAACTTCATGATGTATTGCTAATAGGACTACATTTTAGAATATACTGGAGAATGTATATCTATGTATTTACCTTCCTATCTATCTTCCCATTTTCCAGGCTACTATACCATCAATATTATGAAATTCATTACTTACAATCTATCTCTTTTTGTCATTTCATGTTTCCCTCTGAAAACAGTTTCTTTCCAATCAGAGAAAAGTTCATTATATAAGGTTTTTACTTAAAAATCTGATTGTTTGCTTCCCAGCATATCCCTCAGTGAAAGCAATGGCATCCAAACAATGATTCTATATATTATTTAACTGAAACTCAAGAATTATGAATAACAGTAATGGAAAGAAACGTTACCACATAGCAGAAAAATGTGCCCTGCCATAAAGGTTATAGTTTAGTCTAATTTCTTTCTGAGGAAAATTGAACTAAAAAAAAATGTAAAGCCACACGTTATCTGGTAAACCGCATAAAGGTGCTGCTGTCTGAGCCCTTGGCTTCTGGGTTTGCACACATCTTGTTTCTTTTACAAATGCTTCCCTGCCACACTCAGAGTGCCCAGCTCTGATTCCAATCACCTTGTAAGAACAATGAACAGGGAGAGGGAATTTCTAATTAATCTATCAACCCTAAAGAGAGATGATTTTACAGAAGGTGACACGTTTCATCCCAGTAACATAAAAGGACGCTCCATGCCTTTTCCTTTTTGTTTGATCTGCACCTGGGGGTGGGTGGGGGTGGTGGTGGTGCTTTAATGCCCTTCCTTCCTCCAGCCCTGACTGATTGCTGCTCAGCTGCCATGCTCACCTCTTTCCTTCGGTCTTTGTCTTTCTGTAACAGCCATTTGACCGATGCCTGGGGAGACTTGGGAGTACATTCGAGAAAAGTGGTGTTATTTTTGACTCCGTACTGAACAATTTCAGCAGCATTTCTGTACGCTGAAAAGCAAAAATAAAAAGAGAGAGGGGGATGGTGGAGAAGAACAGAAAAAAGACCAAGCAGGGAGGGGCAGGAAGAAAGAAGACAGGGGAAGAAGGGGAGAGGAGGAAAGGAGGCATTTAGAACACAATCTCATAAGTGCATGTCAATTTCTCTGTAATAATTGGGCGCCAGCATGACAACAAGCAAAGGAAAGAGCGAATCATTTAATTGATACGCTAGTATATTGTTTTCCTGTCTTGTGTAATTTAAATAAAAGATCATGCTTATTTTAAGAATCTACTTCAAAGACTATACTTGGCATATTTGATTATTACAGCACCCTGTGAGTTAGGTAACATTTCTCTTTTCACCATGGAGGAAACTGAGGCTCAGGAAATTTAAAGAATATATGCTAGCTAAAAAGGTATTCAGGGTAAGATCAATATTAAAGTCAGATTTATCCGATTCCGACACTACCTCCCAAACGTGAGCTATAGGTGGTGTTCAGAAGCGCTGGGAAGACACGTAGGGCGTGGCTGCAGTGCAAAAAATTAAGAACACGGTCTTCGGAATCAGAGGTACCTGGGATAGAGTATGGACTACACCACTATGTTAGCGCCCTGGAGCCAGTTCCAATCAGAGAGACCCCCCCTATGTACAACAGAGCGAAACACTGCTGTGTCCGCACAGTTGTCATACGTGAGCCCATTGCAACCACCATAGGCTCTATGATCTTAAACACGTTACTGACCTGAATGGGTCTTATTTTTTCTCAGTTGTAAAACATGAATTGTAATATTTTATATAACTGCTACTTACTGAAAAAAAATTAAAGTTGAAAAAGCTTTTCATGGCTATCATACGGCAGTGTAGATTTTAAAATAATATGAGCAAAACTCTTACTTGTAAAACTGAGTATAATAATAGACCTTGCGTTCACACACTTTCTTGAGCGCTGACTTAGTTAGCCAGTGTTGCTACAGCAGTGAGTAAGTAGGTGTCTTATACCGACAAGAATGTATTTTCTCAGTTTAAGAGGCATGACGTCTGAATTCAGAGCATCTGCCTAGGAAAAGTTTCTCTGTCAGCGTGCGAGGAATGCTTGTGCCTCCTCATGGTTTCTGGGAGAGCAAATGCCTAAGCATCTATTTTACCCCACATCTCCTAAATTTAGGAGTCCTTGTTCATCAGCCGCTGTGAGGGAGAAAGATGAGGCTTTCTGCTCCAGAAAAGAGTGCAGTCTCAGAAACCCACAGGAGCAGTCACACCCTGTCTTAACAGGTCATTGTGAGGCCAGTGGACCCTATGCCAGTGGGTTTGGTTTGGTTTCTCTCCCCTGGGTTCACTGGTTGAATTCTTTTTTTTTTTTTTT